CATGATGAGCAACAGGAGCCGATAACAAATGCGGAATTCTTCTCAAGAAAGTTCTCTGTTATGATTTCTCTGCGATACTACAGTATCCGTACGCTTCTCCATCGTCCAATATTGGCAAATATGATTCAAACAAACCGTCACACGGTCGAGAAACACGGTTCCAGAACGCTTCCCTTAGGTGGACTACATAGCTTGGAGATATGTACCGACTCAGCATTGGCCACTATAGATATGATATATGAGTTAGTCCATGCCACTGATTGGCGAACTAAACTTTTGGAAGCCTGGTGGTTCTCGCTGCACTATGGTACGTATGCGCACCAGTAAACTGTTCGAGTTCCCTTTGTTTTTTTTTTTAATCTAATACAAGTATAGTTTTCAACGCGGCATTGGCTGTCATAGGAGTGCTGTGGCTTTGCAAATCAGACTATGTGTTGGGCCTGGCAATGGAACAGCTGGCAACAAAGGCGAGGCTTTACCCTGACCGTGCAATTGCAGTATTGTCTCAGCTCGTCCCTGGTGACCCCGTTACAGAACGATACCGGGACATTATTCAACAGTTAGCAGAGCTTCTCAATGATCCAGCCGGTAAGATAGTGACATTCATATGATCATTTAAAATTCGCTAGTAGCTAACGTGTATGAGGGACAAGGGCAAGTGGACATGTTCCAGGACCAGCTGATATCATTACATGACCAAGATAGTACGGCGGAGATACTCCATCCTTTGTCTGACGAAAGCTATTATTCGATAAATAACATGTGTCTGGACGCCTCTACGACCATCGAGGATCTTCTGACACTATCAAGTGGAGCAGGCATGTTACCTAGTGATCAATGGCAGGGGCTTGCTTCTACGCAGGATTTTGATGCAGAAGGACAATAATCAATGTATAAAATTATTCGATCTAGTAGATCCAAATAGCCTCAGAAACAAATTTATACTCCGAAATAAACAGGATCTTACTTGGCGTAGATCTAGTTCAACGGACACAGTGTATAAACTAGTGAGTCAAAAGTCTGAAGACAACTGGGAAAATCACAAAAAAATGTAACAATTCTAAACTCGACCTTCTGAACGAATTTCAAGCTACAAATTAATTCGATAGAATCCCGACAGCAACATTTTGTATACCAGCCACGTAGCCAATATACCGCTTAAAATCTGTGGGACATGGATATATTTTCAACAATACATCGTCTCCTGAGGTATCAGCAGTTATAATATCTATTTTTAAATCATACCTACTGCGGGTATACACATATTTATATTCATCTGTAGAGCACTGGCTATTCTACTGAGGATTGAAGAATATTTTCTTAAACGACCGTCTTAGCCAACTAAAAACACACCGCAGATAATGAGTAACGACCATACTCCGGAATACACAATGTCGCGCGAATAAAGATCACGTGGCTACTGAAAATCCTACACGATGATGATCGATGTTGAACAAGTGCTATCCCTCGCGGTGACGTGCATGAGGTGCTTCCTAGTAGGATTGCCAGTGGTGCTGTGGCTCACACTCCAGATGCCTCATTGGTCGTATCGCGTTAAATAAATGTCGGGACAGGTCATATCGGCCACTTGTCACAACACACGTAATTCGAGCTGATTGTCTGTTGCCCCACTCGCTCAAGGAAAATTTGTTGCACATACAGTATCTGGCCTTGTGGGGGGGGGAGGGCTTCCACCCCAACTTTTCAGCTAGCCACAGCGCGACAGGGTGTCCCTGTTGTTGGGTGCTGGGAGATGCATGCAGTAATCGCCAACAAATCAGATAGAGCGAGCAAATATTGGTTTTATTTACTGATTGCTAGGGAATAATGATCGTCCATGCACGAGCCACAGTCGACACCCCTTTATTAGACCAAGCAAATAACTAGTTTCCTATGGGCCGATCACAGTTATATAATGGCATGCGTCCAGCTGTGCTCGATGTCCCTCTTTACTCATGTCAAACCAACCACGTACTTGAGTACGTCTTCCAAAATGATTCACTTCTACCCGAACTGCACGTTACCTCCTACTGCGGGTAGGTTTGTGGCAGCTCCTGATGTCCGGGGAACCCTGGACATAGTTTGGAGTTGTGGCTCGATTCTCATCCTCTCCTGCTGGTCCATCTTTCATCCGAATATTCCCCCTCAGTTCAAGCCCACACCGAAAGGCTGGCACCATACCCGGCGACAGTTATTCCTCTTTTTCCAAAAGCTGAGGTGGGTGGTTAGTATCTTAGTGGCTCCAGAGATGATCATGACCAAGGCAATGCTGGACTTGACATCTGCCAAGGCGCTCCAAATGCCCTTGCAAGAATTCGCAGAAAAGGATGGAGTTGACTGGTGTCTATCACATACATTTTTCGCCAACATGGGAGGCTTTCAGATCTGTTTCCCCCAGGACAACGAGCCAAGCAGAAACGACCCAGAGATAAGCATCTTGTCCCAGCCCGATCCGCAGTCTGGCAACCCACCACTAGAGAAAGAAGAATTTACAAAAGTACTACCTGATAATGCGGGAGGAAGTATAGTGGATGATAAGAGAGCACCCAGCCGGGATATCAGTCCTCATATATCAACCGGCTCCGTAAAACGCAGAACCAAAGAACCGAACCCCAACGACCTTAGCAACACTCGGAGCGATATCGCCGGAGAATCCAACGTTTCAATCGTTTGTTTGGGGAAACGACATGGGAGCCAAACAGCCATCATACTACCATGAGTGAAGAGATGCTTTCCCAGTACAGTTCTATGGTCCGCGGAGCAAGTGTATACAACTCATCGTCTATCCAACATTATAATCTTCTCGCCATGGAAGGTAGTGTGTGGGTTTTAAATGCGCCCCAGCTTCTTATGGCCCGACATTATGGTATTATTGAACGACTACCCAACATTACATGCCAGGAGATCGATGACAAAAACAAGGGTGATTCCCTTATTAAAGTCCTTGCAGTTGTTCAAATAATCTGGCTGCTTGTCCAACTGATACTGCGATTCGCGTACCATAAATCAGCATCTCAGTTGGAAATTATGACTGTGGCGTACGCAGTCTGTGCGTGCGTCACCTACTATATGCTTATCTCCCAGCCGCAGAATGCAAATACGCCGGTTTATATTTCTGCGCATAAGCTCAAGTACGATATCCATCAACTTAAGGAGATTGTTGAGGTCGGCCCCTTACACTTCCTTCCATTCCTTGACTTTCAACTCCCATGCATTCAATATAATTCTTTTCCATTTGTTGCAGACCCGAGGAGAGATCTTGTGAAAGTAAATCGCCAAACACAAAACTATATCTACTTCGGCATCTGTGTTGGCGCTCTTATTTTTGGCGCTGTGCATCTATTTGCGTGGAATTTCCCATTCCCCACAGATGTCGAGAAACTTATATGGAGAATCTCTTCGTTTCTAACGGCCCTGTTGCCAACGGCTCTCAATGTAATATGGTTGCTGGCAAACCGTGGCAACCGTGAAACAGAAATCCACAAGCCGTGGTATCTTACAATGGCTCTTGTTGGTATATCGATCATTGTTTTATGTCGACTGTTCATTTTTGCAGAGGCGTTTCGGTCATTGTACTTTGTCTCCCCTGAGGCGTTCTCCTCGACTTGGGCGTCAAATGCACCCCATGTTGGGTGACACCAGGGAGGAAATGGTTTTGAACTGTTTCTTTCCCACGGATTGGAAGGAAAACCAGCTACGGGTTGACTTCAACATCTTGCTTAGCCTGAGCAGCCAAGCGCACTAAACATTATTTTGTTAAAGTCACAAAAGAGGAGCGATATTTTGGATGGCAATGCATTCTATAGTATGGCAAGTTAATCAAATCACATTTGATTGACTAAGGGATATATCCTGTTCCCTTTTGCATGCCCTCAAGGCTTGCTGCTCGTAGATCCTTGATTTCCAATGCCGCCAATCCATGCTCTTTATGATTGAGACCTCAATTGACTGCCTAAGAGGGCAGTAATTGTGGATTATTCCACTAGGATTGCACATCTATCCAAAGACAAGCAGACGACTCGAAAATCGCATACTCCAAGAACTATCAACAAGCCGAGCTCGGATTTAATAGCTTATTATAATCCACATTATTTGAACGAGTGTAATACCTACCACAATGAATACTAAAACCACTGGCGATGAAGGATTTCTATAAATACCAGAGCAAGACCATAGCGCACGGATTTAGGGCATGCAGTCCAATGAGTAGGGCTGCAGAATATCCATTAGCGCCAAATGGCATGTAATAATAACTTTTAAAGAAGGAGAGTAGATAGCTTTCTTAATCTAGAACTTCCCAACACTTTAACTCCTGGGCGCATCCATGTAAGGCGTTGTTCCTTGTTTTTTTGGCAGCATTAAATATTATATCTTATCTTCGGGGTGAAGGTCCACTGCAACGAGATGGTTGTGCCAAGCATATGTTGGGTGCCTTTAACATGGGTGCAGATCGTAAAAAGGGCGTCAAATAGGCTAAGAGATACTGATGCAAGACCTTACCTCGGCACATTTTTGCTCTAGAAATTAAGCGGTACGGTATTGGCCACACATTGATGCCGATTTATTTTGTTTTTACCAAGAATATTTTCTATAAGCCCTGTATATCAAGGCGAGAAAATAACAGAAGGGAATGGATAATAGCTAGCCCTAATTTCCCGTACACCTGTAGTGATGGTATAGAGTTTGAGGCAAATCAATGTGCTCTGAGTGAAGAATAAAACCAGCAAAATGCTGAACCCCAGCCTCACCAGCGCGCACCAACACGTATATTCTGGTCGACCGTAACTTGAAGCCAATCAATCAAGGCCACGCAAGCGCACGCCTACACAATGTGGATACGAAAAATGACCTCTTCTTGGTCACGTTCCTCGTATCTGTTAGTTCATCTGATCATGATCCAATATCGCACACATCTTTAGTCCGTTTATCTCGCATTTTCTTTCTTCTTCCTTATCATATCTTCGCTTGTCCTGCATGTTTGTTAATCTCCGAGTAAGAGAATGGAAACTCTCGTCAGCTATGGTGTCACCTACCTGATAACGAATAACTCCACCCTAGCAACCGTCGTTGCGGCTGTCTACGGGCTCTTCCTCAAATCATCCACAAAACGTCTCTCCGTCCGCGCGATTCTACTATGCCAATCACCGGAATACTCCTTGACCAAAACAGATATCGACGGATTTTTATCTAGCTCGTACGGAAGAGATATTTGCGAGTGGTCATGCACACGCGCCTCCGTTGACGAAAATTACGAAGGACCAGCAAAGAAAGCGGTTCATGTATGACTAGCTATGCCGAGTTGCTTGTCTCCTTTCCCATAAAAGGAGTTGACAGAGATCTGCATTATCCGCAGGGAAGGTGGCTAACTACCGAGTATCAGATTAGTCTTGAGCACGAAAGCATGCTGTACGATGACACACTTCGTGAGCTTCCAATTCGTCAACTATGCAGACTGCTCGTTGGCTTGCATACGTTCAAAGAACACCGCTTCCGGATCGTGCCTGAACGGGCTGGCGAGGGTCTAGATGATATTGGTCAGCTTTTTGGTGGCTGTCTGGTATTGATGCATTTGAAGGATATATATGAACGATGTCTCCGGGATGATTCGGGTGACGATGGACGCTACCCTGAGTAGGTGAAGCGCGGTGGATTATCTCTTTGCGACATAACTGATCCTGGTAGGGAGAGATATATTAGTCTGTTTCAGAAGTTCGCAGACGAGTACGGGGCGTATATGGAGTCTTTGTCAGATGAACAGGTTGTTGAGATTCTTGGTGGTAATGATGATCCAAGGTTCAGGAGTATGCTCAATGAGCTTAGAAAAAGGTATACGAAGAGGGCGTTGAGGAAACAATGACTGTACGGTTATAATATATGTAAAACATAGCTATGTTCGCTCATGAATCAAGAGCACCCTGAAGGAGCATATTATTAGAGATTTCACAGGTGTGATCTAAGATCATATATCGGCTCTCACACACGTTAATGCTTGTCGCTAGACACTAACTTCTACTGCAGGAATTATTTAGGTATCCCATAGTAGTAAGGCCAATGAGGAGAAAAAGCGCGGAGACTTTTACTAATCACACCGGCATGGCGCAATCGCCGTTGGGCTTCATTGGTTATGACGTCGGCCGACTTGATGCGACTTAGTAATGCCATGCAACCCTTCTAGAACATGCATCACTGTATCAGTGCCTATTTATATTGATGTCAGCCGTCTGGAATTCAGTCAATTCAATCATCTCACTAAACGGGCCACCTTCCTCGTCATTAGTACTTCATTTTCCACATTATCAGCATAGCAAACAGTCTCGACATGTCCTCACAAGCAAACAACCCACGAGTACCACGCGGGCCAGTCGAGGCTGAGATAGTATTTTTCAAAGACCCCGCTGATGGCTCCGCACCCTTCAATTACGTGGAGGAGCCACCGGAGGGACAACCCCAGCGGAACTACAGTGATGTCTCACATAAAGTTCAAATTGCCGATATCCGAGGGCAAGAAGATCAGTTCACTTTAGACCACGACGCATTTCAAGTTCTACAAGGCATCCCTTCGCAAACTACATACGAGACGTTCAATTCCGATGAGGCTGTCAAACAGTTATATTACCCCGAGGTAGAAAAGCTACTCCTCGAAAAGATTCCAGGGGCCCACAAAATCATCATATTTGACCACACCATCCGACGAGCCGATCCCAACGCGTCACGCCAACCTGTCCAGCGAGCACATGGGGATCAGACTAGATGGTCCGCAGCTCAGCGAGTCCGTCGGCATGTTACTGACCCAGAGGAAGCTGAAAAGCTGCTTCAGGGACGGTATCGTATTATCAACGTCTGGAGGCCGATAAATGGCGCGGTTGAATCGTTCCCCCTGGCTTTTGCCAAAGCTGGGTCTCTGGGCGACACGGATTTCGCCAAGATTGAACATCGCTATCCTCACTTTAGTGGCGAGATTATGGGCGTGAGATACAATCCAAATGCAGAGTGGAAGTATCTTTCCGGAGTGGACGATAATGAAAGACTGCTTCTAAAGTGCTCGGATACTGAGGAGGGCATGGCAGAACGTGTACCTCACACGGCCTTCGTGGATCCTCGCACGGCCCCTGATGCCAAGGCGAGGGAAAGTATTGAAGTGAGGACCATCGTATTTGGATAGAGTGCGGGAGATATGAACCAGTCTTACAGCGATCCTTTTAGCCTTGTTGCGTAACCTGATTTTATGATGACGAATTCTATATACGAAGTTCTCTCCATTGTATAACTGGCATATAGCGTTTTTCAAACCAAATCCACCTGAATCTTAGACAATGTTACTTAACTGTCTCCATTGCAGTTGTTGAATCTTATTTCTGAAACCGTCCAGCGTGTTATACATCTATGTTGGGCCACAGATTTCCATCACCCACACGGAAGAGTTCATTTAATCATGAAATAACAGATGAAGTCAGGGCATGATATAATATTGACTACTATAACGAGCCATGATTCCGGTATACCATTTATGACAATACCACATCATCATTAAGTTCAAAGAGGCTGCTGTGCAAAGAACCAGAGCCACGTATATATTTTCCTTACAAGCCCGTCGACTCTTCGATCGCATGATCCTGATCCGCGAAAACCTTCTTAACGGAAGGCCTCTCACTCAACTTCTTAAACCACGCCGCAGCATGAGGGAAATCCTTATCCAAATTCTCCGCATCTGTCGCATACTTCGACGCCCAGCGTTGCCAAGGCATAAAGCATAGATCGACATAGGTGCACTTATCCCCAACCAGCCACTCTCTGTTCTTCAAAACAGAGTCCAGGACACCAGTCACACGACGGATCTCATTGCCATACCGCTCAATGACACTAGAGAGACGTTCTGGATGGGCGCGGTTGAACCAGCCTGCCTGTCCGTAGTACGGGCCTTGACCTGACATTTGGAAATGCAGCCATGCCTTGGTTTCATATTTGGCAGCAAAGTCAGTGTAGCTGAGCTTGTGTTCGATGTCGTAGTTATCGAGAAGGTATTCCACGATCGCGCCGGATTCCCAGAGAGTTATGTCTTTGTTGGGGTCTTCGATGGCGGGCAGACGGCCGTTTGGGTTCAGCTTGATAAAAGGTCCTTTTTTGACGTCTTGAAAGCTCACGAAGCGGGTTTCGTACGGGAGGTTTAGCTCTTCGAGGATGATGGCTACCTTCCAGGGGTTTGGACCGTAAGGGTGAGAGTAGAGGATGATGGGTTGCATATTCAGGATGTTTTCCGTGGAGGCACTTTGCTTGGATAGACTTATTGTTTTGGTTGCTGTCAGGCAATACTACACTGATATGGCTGAAACTACTATTTATCTCTTCAAGTCTGTTCCCAAGCTGTTCTTGGTGCTGTGCTACAAGTCGTTCTGTTAGGGCTATGCGGGCTCTGGGCCGGATGCCGCACTTGGCAAATTTTATGAGACATCGGCGAGCTCCACAAGTCGTGATATGCTAGCAACATGGTATCCATGTGGGCGAGTAGCTAAAGGTGGGTGGTATTGTACAAATCATTATCGCTCTCGCTCCAGTTAGAGATTTTATAAGAATGACATTATGGGCCATTGCCTATATGAGGGTCGGCGTCTGGTGGGACCACTTCGGCGTTTGCGCATATGCCGAAGTCACCGACTTGTCAGATCCACTCAGTATACAGTTCGGCTTGTCTACTATTCCTTGATTCTACATCACTACAGGTCCAGTCAATCTCAAAGCATATTTTGTACAAAATAACCTTTGGAGTGTTATGAACCTTTCATTAAAGGTCATGTTGTGACAGTCTGCGGTTGAGTAGACTCGAGTTCTTTTCAACTTCGTTTCTGAATATCGACTTCCGTTTCAGGAAAGCGCTTAAGCTTTTGTTTGACTCATAGTCTTATCTATGATCATCTGTATCTTTGATACCGATGATAGCCGAGTCAGTCCACGCAAGCTTTGCAATTCACACGCTATGATATATACTTGTACGGCCTCACATTGCGGTATGCTGCATCCCAGTTCTACGTGAACACCATACCAACAATGCCCGACGACAGCCTTGCCACCCAGGCACTCCATGCCGACAATGGCCTAGACGGAGAATCAGATATTGCCCCGCCAATTCATCTCAGCACAACCTTCCGGTATCTGTACAATGCGGACCAAGAGGAATCTCCACCCGGGCCAGCAGTATGTCACCCAGTAGCAATCCTCCATCACCCATACACAAACACAATGGCATGAGCACTAACAGACACAGCTTGGGAGCTTCTGTTACTCCCGAGACCGCACTCCGACGCGCAACCGGCTAGAAACAGTCTTATCCGCACTCATCCGCGGCCCAACATTAACCTACGCCTCCGGCCTGGCCGCGGTGCATGCATACCTCGTATTTCTCAAACCGAAGCGCATAGCCATCGGCGACGGGTACTACGGCAGTCGCCAGGTAGCCACTCTGCACCAACAGCTGACGGGCTGTGAAATTCTGCGACTCGACCAGCTTGATGCTCTCGAAGAAGGCGACGTAATCCACCTCGAAACGCCAATTAACCCAACAGGAGAAGCACTCAGTATCCGACGGTTTGCAGACGAGGCTCACAAACGCGGAGCATACCTGGTAATTGACTCGACGTTCGGCCCGCCAGGTCTCCAGGATCCGTTTGCGCTGGGCGCAGACATCATAATGCACAGTGGGACCAAGTATTTCGGTGGTCATCATGATCTTCTGTGCGGGACGTTGTCGATCCCGCCTGCGAGAGAAGAAACGTGGTTCAAGACTTTACATGAACAGCGGACTATTCTCGGTAGTGTGCTCGGTAGTATGGAGGTGTGGCTTGGACTGCGGAGTCTTCGGACGCTGGAGTTGCGGGTACAGCGGCAGAGTGAGAATGCTACAGGTTTAGTTCGCTGGCTCGATGAGTGCTTGAAGAGCGAGGCCGATAATGTGGTTAAGAAGACCGTCGCTGCTGTGAGACATGCGAGTCTCCAGGAGAGGGATATGGATTGGTTGCGGGAACAGATGCCGAATGGCTTTGGGCCGGTGTTTGCTATTGTGATGAAGACGGAGGAGATGAGTCGTGAATTGACGGGCTTGTTGCGTCTGTTCCAACACGCGACTAGCTTGGTGGTGTGGAGAGTCAGATAGAATGGAGGACGCTGGTGGATGCATCGGCGAAGCGACACTTCTTCGGGTTAGTGTTGGGGTGGAGTATTTGGAGGACCTGAAGAGAGACTTGTTTCATGGATTTGAGGCGTTGATTAAGGATTAAAAACGGGCAGAGGTCTTGAGAAAGCGAGAACTAGATCTTCATTTGGGACCCGTAGGATCTATGACGGCTCTTGTGACTAGTGAGTTGGATTGAACCCTCTCTGTTCGTGACTTTTAGTTGGAGGTGATAATGACTCAACAAGCCAAGCTAGCTTTGTGTATTCAGTATGAGGTGTGCTAAGCCTTAGAACAGTGCGTAAGGCTTGATAGGTGTTCTACCTTACAAAAGTAGCCCGAGTATATCTACGTCTAACTACAGTACCCTCAAGCCAACAAAGTCAGGCCCATAGGACGTGAATCCATTCTCACCACCCTCGTTGCCGATGACAACGTCATTGTCTCCATCCTTCCATCCCCCAGTCAATACCCCAATCGTCGCCGCATCCCACCACCCTTTACCAGGCCCAAACAACTCGCTATGTTGACCACTCAAGGGGACCTCGACTCTGACTGGCTTATTACCATTAACGCTGACAGTCAGGTTTCTCGAGTTAGAACCCCAATCCCAGGACGAGTCAAATGCAACCTCATTATTGATGTAGTCGATTGCCAGATACTTCGTTCCGGCAGTGGCGGGGATCACAGCCCGAGCTGTGCTGTTCGCACTGATGTTCCCTATCTTGGAGCCAATTGGCTGACAATATCCTGCGCCACAGGAGACAGATTGTGCATCTCCGGTTGTTGTGAAGACCGTATTTGGGTAATATGTGCCATTGGGAGGGGTGATTATGATTGACTCGACGGACTGCGAGGACATGACTGTAATGGAGTTCGATGATCCAGCTACTAGGGGTATCTGTGCAGATGCCTCGTTGCCCGATGCTGAGACCCGTGCCGTAATTGTCCTATTACTTGCCGTCGATTGGATGCTCACATTTTTAGAGGAGCCCTCGCCGGATAGTTTTACCGTAATGTTGTACTTGGTACTTGTGGTGACACCGTAGATCGATTTAAATGTGGTCGAAGACCTGATAGCAGCGTTAGATTAGCACTAAAAATAAGGCATTGGGCCATCACTCGCCCAGCTGATGTAGCGAACGTGTCGCTCAGATAATGTCCGGAAAGTGCAGTATCCTGAAGCTCGAGCAGTATCGTTCCGTGTCCCTCGACCCTTGCTGTATAGGAGGTCTTAACATCTTGAGCGGTAGAGCTATCCCAGATATTCTTCACCGTGCCAGCGTACTGTAGCCCAATATCAGGGAGATCCAGAGTAAGATCCCTCGACTCGTTCTTCCAATTGATCAAAGCCGCTACAGTACGGTCACCGGATAACGGCCCACTCCATACTTCATAGCCTTCATCTGACCAGCGTCGCCGGAGACTGGCACTCACACCCAGTGAGTCCTGATTGTAACCAATCACATCTTCCTGTTTCAATATCTGCACGGACTCATCGCTTATGGCAGTCTTGTCGTCCTTCAACGCCGCTCCGATAGTCAAGGGACTCTTGAGAATCGCCCAGAGAGAAAAGTGAGTCTGTTCTTCTGGAATTGAGAATATACCGTTGCCCACCAAAAGCATATCCAGATCGGGCCATTGGCCAGGTCCAGCAAAGCTAGTTTGAGGCACAGCTTGGTTCAACGTTCTGAAGATCGACCTCCAGTGGGGGATGATATCGTTGCCGATTCTCCATGAGTGCCCTAGCGCAGGTGCCCACAGTGCTGGGAAATCAATCCCCCATTCACAAACCTGGAAAAGGATGGAGCGGTTCTGCGCGACTAGGGCGCGCGACATGATTTCGAATCTTGGCTGCGGCGACGTGCCCGGTTCGTAGTTTACGTTTGGATAGTCGGTCGCCGCGTCGGAATAGCAGTTATCGTCTACACCCATAGAACATTAGTAGCTGACGGTGCGAAGAGGGAAATCACCGCACATTTCAGCGAGTCCGCCCCCCAAGATGCAAAAGTCTTAGCATCTTGCTCTTCGTGGTCTATCAAAAAGCTATTAGCACTTAGTGATTAGGCATCATGGAAACACACACATAGACTGCCGACATTGTCGGGAGGACTGCCGCACAGCTTGATTCCCGAATCCCCATAAACCCCGAAAAGAAGGTCGAGGTCGTGAAGATACTTTCCCAGCGCGGGAAAGCCTTCCGGGAACAAGGTCTCATTCCAGGTCAAGGATCCGTCAGGCAGTCGATCTGCAACGGTCCACCCACAGTCGGTGGTGACATACCGATACCCTAGCGAGGCTAATCCTAAATCGACCAAGGCCTGGGCATTAGAGCGTACGATGGATTCGTTTGGGGAACATGAGTAGTGGTTGTATGTGTTCCACCTGCATCGTCAGCTTCACTCAAGCCATAAGGGTTACCGATTCATACCCCATCTGAGGCGTCCGGGCAAGCCCATTGTCCAACCGCGATTGCAGGCGCGGATGCCCCAGCGCCACTGGCAGCAAAGACAGATAAAAAATATTGGGTACCATTCTGGTAAGGCATTGTGCAGAACCCTGGTATGGGATCAGCCGCAGTAGAAATAGTCTGGAGCAACATAGTATGGTGGTCTGACTGATGGTAATCTAGGGTTCCCCGCCCCCGCACCGACGGGTGCGGAGGCATGATGGATTCATATCATCGATTCTGCAGGACGTTGTAGTTCATGGTGTGCTGATTGGAGGGAAAACCAATTTGGGCATCGGGAATTTGCCTTTTCGGGATTATAGATTAGGATTCGCGGTTTGTTGTGCCAGGACAGATCAAAGTCCACTCCTCGTGGTAGGAGAGAGCTCTCCAGTTTAGCCTAAATTGATCTACTTACTGGATATGGAGGTAAAAAGACAATCTTGACTTTTAATCAGCTAACACAATTGTAAGAGCTTTCTTGTGGGAAATGTTTCTATGCTAATTGATATGCCCGTCCAATGATATCTTTCATAGGCACACTTACCACAACGCGCGAGCTGGTCTGATGGTACCGGAAATGGCAAAAGCACGTAGTAGTATAGGATAGGTGCTAAAGCACTGTTCATTGCCGGCTATTATAAGATAAACACTAGCACCCTCCGCTGAAAGATGACACCGAGGGGGCAATAAGAAGAAAAACCCAGAATGATAGTAAATGGTCGCAGAATTGATATCTTTGAGTTAGCTCTGGGGGACAAAACCAAGACCCAGTCTAACGATTCTGAAGTCCTGTCCATAGTGTTAGGCCATGCAAGGTGATACTCACTGCTTCATCGGAAGGCACACCTACATCGAATTCCATTCGCATAGCAACCACATTAGACTCAACGCTCAGATCACACATGCAACAAGTGTTTGGGACTGTCCCTATCCATGAACAGTGTGTTGCATTGGTCTTCAACTTAATAGCGTAAACTCCTTCCCTCGACCACGCTATCTTGATACGTCGGAAGGGTCCGATATCTCGTATTATACGGTCCCGAGAGCTTATGTATCCTATTTTCACTGTTTCAACTTCCCCAATGAATTCCATACCCGTTATGCAGGTTTTGCGCGTATCCCCCAGAACGGACACCGCGATTTGTTTCAAGGAATGTGGAAGTGAAAAGTATCTACTATAGGTGACTGTGGTGCCGTAAACATCAGAACCCAAGAAAGACTGAGAAAGGGGTAGATACTGCCAAAGCAAGTCAGTCATGGCTCTGTAGCATTCTACGCCCGGAAGCGAGAGCCTAGTGTCCATGAAACCACTAATCAAACGACAACGCCACCAGATATCTCGCCTCTCGCATAGCCTTTGTGATAAGACTTTCTCACGTGTCCAGTAATATAAGAGGTGCCAGTTTCCTCTTCGTGATAGTTTTGGGTGACTCCTGTCAGGAGACCCGAGAAAATAGCGATCGCCGTGATATTCAAATCGAGTTTTCCAGAAGGATTGACTAAAGAAAATTCCGCCCATAGATCGAGATGCAAGACGAAGATTATAGAAATCGGACGTGGGTAGGTACGACGCGATCTCCTGGCGGAGTTCTTGAGGCAAGGCGTGGAAGGCATCTGCATTTCCTTCAGTACGCGCTTTTTGCAGCCTGCGCACCCTAATACTTCGCTTCGGTAGAGGGTTAGGAGCCGGTAAAAGGTTCGAGAATTCGATCACTTCTGATGGTGACTGATGCTCCGATTGGAAATGCCCAGTAGGAGTGGGAGGCAGCTTCAAAATGCGTAGAGCCTCATATAGCTGTGCCAGGGATATTGGCCTTCGCAGGTGCACCTCCAGAATCTTCCAGCAAGCATCATGCATTAACAACACCTGCAAGGCGGTGCTTCCGAGTCTGAGTACCACGTTATTCCGATATATAGGTTCCTCCAGGGGTTCTTGGGATTGGACTGTCAGATTAACGTAATAGGCGCCCAACTGAGTAATTTCGATGGTCGCAATGTCAGAGAGCCAGACACTTTTCCCAGCCTTATACACTGTATAACCATCAGTTGCAATCTAAGGTATACCATGTACGGGACAATGAGAATCTTCTCGGTCCCTTAAACCCTTCTTATTGGAGGTCATACCAGCTCGAAATGTGTCGAACCAAAAGCCCCGTCTCCTCGAGTCAATGGGTTTATTGCATATTGTACAGTCCATCACGCTGATTCGAGGCGGATGATTTGGGTGTAATGAGGAGGTTAGTACAATAAAAAGGAGAGATCCCTATGTTTGTCAAGCAGATAAGTTATTTTTCATTCACTGTGCCCCTTACGTGGTGATGAGTTCAGTATGACCAACACCGGATGTAAATTGCACTATATTTTCCAAAGTCACTCCCACTGACGAAAGGCCTTCCGGTTTAAGGCTTCTAAATTATCTTGGGAGAATGTCCTTATGACGTCCGCCCACAAAATAATTGCCGGGAAATGAGATAACGGTTGATAAATGAAGGATGAGTTAGATATCCTCTCATCCAAACAATTCTAACAA